TGGTTTGCCATATGCGGTATTTCACCTGCCATCAACTGAATCTCTTGTGTGTCTGTCCTCTATCATAAAATATAGATTTCGTAGTAAGCACTACTTTGCCTTATCAGTGATCAATTCATACTATACTTGAAGAGCGTGTTAATATTGAAAAACAAATACTCATTAAAATCAAAGCGATCTTGCGTCCTCGGATTACATTCACGATTAATTGTTGCCAAACACGAAAGTGTCACAGTGTTTTATCGACTTCGCCAATTAGTAAACCGACAAATTAAGGTTACAGACCGAAGCGAAGCATTAATTTTAATTGTGCCAGTATTTTTCCTTGAACCTCCCAAATCTAATCCACAGATAATCACTGACATTATTAGTATGGTCCCCTTTGTTCCATTCGTTGGAGTTCCCTCCATGGCTCAGTAGAGGCATCGGATTCAGATTACCGCGAGAAGGTTTGTAACCTAGTATTGTTATGTTTGTAGCAAGCATACGGGCATTTTCAAATGAATACACAATTAGGGCAATACTAGGATATTGTTTATTTAAATAATAATAAGTAATCGTAACCAATGTAAAAACTCGATGACATTTTCTTCAAACCATATATGCATCTCTTGGTGTATGTAATATGTATCTTAGCACGTACGATTTGAGATTCAAAGTCCTTTGTTTCCAGCTGAAAAGAAGATACCACTGAAAATAATTTACAAAGTTTTAATGTTTGAATCTTATTGTTTATAGTAACATTAGATAATTGTTTTAAAAATAGTTAAATTTGATATTTAATTATCTGTGTAATGCGGTAACCGCTAGGCCCGAATAAAGTCGAAGTCCTCGTTAGTCGTATTTTATTCACATAGGTAACTAGATACACTTATGAACGTCACATCAGTTATGTTAAGTTAAGAGAACGAGAAGAACTGGCAAGAAACTCGCCGCCACTCCTTTTATCGCCGAGTTTTATTTTTTCAGTCTACACGTACTCTTAAGTGCACTACATATTTTTTCTAGTCAAAGCCGGTTCCTCCAAACCCCAAGCATTTTTATCGTTTAAATATAAATATATTAAGTATTATATTACATCATAAACACGTCGTTTCCGTAATAAGTAGGAACCACATACGGTGCACAAATGTCCTGGAATAATGCATCCATGATAATGCCACATTTTCATACGAACCATGTTTGGTTATTCTTCTTGAGAGTCTATTGAGGGAACATAATAATATTTTGTTCATAAAACATTTGCTCTTTGTCTCCGTTTATTATAGAGATAGGCTTGCTGGTATTGTGTTAAGCTTATCTATTTATGTTTAAATGGAATAGGTCAAAACATATCCGACTTTGAAAACCAATAGGAAACTTAGTAATTATTTTTAGGATGTTACAGACCCGGTAGCTCAATTGGTAGAGCAACAGCACGGAACGCTGATGATGCCGGTTCAAGTCCTGCCCGAGTCGAAAATATTTTCAATTTATTTTCGATTTTTATATTAAATGTCACAAACTGTTTAACTATACAGTAATCTTATTTAAGAAATTCTACTAAAGCTTAACGATATTAAGTGAAGCATGGTTTTGAAAAATAAATATTTTACAAATAAAAATTGCAGTAGGTAGATAATAAAGATATAAGAATCTTATGAACCAACCAAATTTTTTATTAGTTAATTATTATTTATGTTTTACCTGAACTTAGATATACTGTTGTATTTCGCGTTTCAAACTGTTTAAAGTTACATAAACAAAAACGAAACGCTCTACTAAAACCTCTTCCTATTTAGGTTATCAAAAGTTGAATTATTAAAACAAACAACATCTTTTTTGTCCATAACTTTTCAGAGCTTTAATTAAAAAATACGCGTAATTTGCTTCTATTATTAAACTCCAAGCCAAGCTGAAACGAACTCTATTCCACCGTATTATAGTTCGTTTTATACTGAAGAGTAGCATGAATCAGATTTGAAAATGATTGTGGTACATGACTTTTCCATTTTTCTCCGGTAACGCAGTCAGAACTCGTAGAATTTAGGCGACAAGAGAATTAATATTGAATTTTATTTGTATGGGTGTGTTGGTAACAACTTTTTAACAACTACAAAGTAGCATGAGATTGATTTGACTGGCTTGTTGGTTTAATGGAAGCAATGGACGCCTAATAATCAACGGGTCGCAGCTTCGATCCCCAACGGGGCCAACATTTTATAATTTTTATGAAACATCTTGGACTTCGTTCGGAAATCTGGATATTAAATGGATGGTAGAAATATTGCAATTCCGTCCGGGTCAATCATTGTGACGGTTTTTCTAACGTATCCAAGGGTCAATTATAAAGCGTGTTGCATTGCGCTGAGTTTGAAAGGGCCTAGGTTCATATTTCAGTTTTTTAATTATTTAATATTACGTTTTTATATGTAAATCGTTTAATAACATAGGCCGATAGTAAAAAGACAAACTTTTCTAAAAGGTCAAATTTTAAGGTTACGAGTTTGTATTTTAAGTAGAATTAAGCAAAACAAGTGCTAGTCTAAAGGTTTATCGGAAGGTCAAGTTGGATTTATTTTCAAATTACAAACAGGCAGATACTTAACGCTTATAATAATACTTAAATGTTACCTAAGTATACCTTAAACCGCCTCCATACCTAAGTAGTTAAAACGTGCCTATCACTGTGTAGGTATTGGGGTCGATTCGGGCAGGGCAGGGAAGTCTGATCAACTCTTTGTCTGTAGATAAAAGCGATTAGTAAAAAGCATACAGATATATCTTCGCCCTATGCTCAATAGGGTGCTGCTTTTACATATGGGTTCGGACGAAGTAACAGAAGATGACATCAAAGAACTACAGATGGAAAAAATAATAAGATTCTGCAAGCAAACCGGAAGGTTTGAAGGGGACACGGGGAGAGTTGGATGACCCAAAACCTCTGCAAGGAGGAAATGGGGAAATGGGTGAAGTGGTCAACTGATAATGTGGACTAATCACCCGTCCTACCACAGGTTTCCCCGAAAGAAAATAATAATAACAGGGGGAAAGATTTCACTTACCCCTAGCTTAATAGTTTGTTTAAATAAAAGTTGTAAAATTATATTAGTAGATTAAGAGACCGACGAAGTCCAACATGTTTCGTAAAGAAATTAGAAGCACGTTGAACCCGGTGGGGATCGTACCCATGACCCGTTGTTTATAAGCCATACATTAGATCAACGAGCTAGAGTAGAAGCTAGCTTCTATCGTTCTAGCATTCAATTGAATAAAGTATACGTAAGTCGTTATATGAATGCAAATTCTCACACCAGCTCAGAAGAATTCAAAATACTCAATAATATCAACGAAAATGGCAGAGATCCGAAATAGAAGCGTCTTCGGTGCGTCTAAGCTTTCAAATACGAAGGCATCTTGATAGCTTTTATGAGCACATTTCAGTGATTTATGTAAATGCCATACAGCACTCTAACCCGTGTTGCCTACAGAAGATATCTTCTTGTGTTCTTGGATTGACTATTATATTGACATTGACGTTAATTGTATTTGCATAAAATATGTTATCACTAATACCCATCTCTACCTAAATTCCGAATATCCAAAGCCAAAATACGTCGACAGCGATCTGGTTTAGATGTTATGGGATAATTCACTTACTATCAAGATGTGCTTGTTTGTCCTCTAATATAGAAAAAAAATATCTAAAGCTGAAGAGTTGGTTGTCGGTTATAACTTAAACGCGCTACCCTTAGGAACTAGTATTCTATTATTAATATTTGGTGAATATGAATGAAAAGATATTGAGGAATGAAAGATTTTTCTCTAAATGGTATAAATAATTTCTACAACATTTGTTTTGTTTTAAGATTAACTACAAATCGCTTTTATCGTAATAAAATGTGGTCTAAATTAATTACAATTGTATCAACATACTCATATTAATCTTGCAAACAACAAAAACAAAATCAGCTGGTATCTAATAAAATCCTTTGTTTTTAGATATGAATATAATACAATTTATAAAAACCACTATTTTATTTTTTGATTTCACTACAGAAGAAATACACGGCTATGGAGCTTCTAAGGTCGCTTTAGTAGTAGCGACACCTATGCTTTAGTAGTAGAACTAAATGCCATAAGCACAAACAATATTACAGAATAATTGTAATAAAACATATTCAGTTATTTAACTATTTTTTCTATTGTATGCTAATTATTATTTTAATTGAATTTTAAATTATATTGAACACGATATTGCTTAATTGTAGATTATTTTTTATCTAGGAAACAATAATTAATAAACACAATTAACTTCTTATTAATATATCGTAAAAGCAAACTTTTGTATAGAATTTATTAAACGTCAACAGTATATCGTTTGAAATATGATCTATGAAAATACAAAATCCCTCGTATCGATATTCCCAAAAATACTACGAGAATTTACAAAGCTATTAAAATATAGAAACTTCTATTACACGCAAGCTTACATCAATAGCCTTTTCTCCATCTTTTTGAATAGCTCCAAGTCAAAACAATGCCATTGTTCTCTTCAGGTAAGAGCGAAATGAAAAGATTGTCATCAATAGGGTGACAATAAAAAATAAATTACGACTACTTACCACTAGATGGCAGGACAAGTCCAATTGTAATGGAGCTTTTGCGGGGCGGGGGGCTGAAGAGCTTCCTTGCGTGTTCTCCGCGGTACTTCCAAGTGCTAAGCGCCTTACTTGACAGTCACATCGCAAACGCGCTGGCGAGAGGTTGCGTTACACAGCGCACCGATCTCGCGTACACGCTATTAATATTTAATAACACAAAACTGTCAACTCATACATGAACGTGAAACTAAATGTGAGGCATTTAATCCAAACTACCGTAATACAAGAAAATGGACTTCAGTGAAGTGAAATGCTAACAAATTTTAATTATTCTACTCCGTGTTTATGGACTTAGTTTCGGAAATGGTGATATCGACCCACGGAGAGTGTTTATGAGACGTTCTACAGTGAAAAGAAATGTCTGTGATAATGTATAGTGCGGCGGCTGTGTTTTGTGCGTTGCTGCAAGTCGGGTGGACTGTGTTCCCCCACGGCTCCGACAAGTGTGTTAGAGTGAACGATAGAGACTCTGAAAGTAGTGCGCTTTGCAAAATACGGACGCTGGAATCGGACGGAAGCAGTATAACATCAGTGTCCTCAGACGTGCATCGGCTAGCTATCGAATGCAATCACCTTTTATTATTCGAGAGCACGCTAAGAGCGCATTATTTTAATCCCGTCGCCGGTCTCACGGAATTGTCAATTAGCAACTGCAAATTGCTTCAGATACCGAACAACACATTCCACGACTCGAAGAAGCTGAGAAAACTAAAGATCCGCTCCAAAAACTACGAGTGGAGTCCTACTAAGAATTTGGAGCTATCTTTAAACTCTTTCAATGGATTATCGGAATTGCAGGCGTTGGATCTCGCTCAGAATAACATCAAGTTTGTTCCTTCCGGCGTGTTCTGTTCTCTGGAAAACTTGAACTCTTTGAACTTGACGCACAATAGAATAAGAACGGTCGGTCAGCTCGGCTTCGGACAAGGATGTGGCCTGAATCTACATCATTTAGATTTAAGTCACAACGAAATCAAATCGCTGTCCGCTGACTCGGAGCTGTTGAAATTAAGGAGCTTACAGCATTTATTTTTACAACACAATAATATAACGGACATATCAAGTGAAGCTTTCGACGGCCTTGTATCTATGAGGGTTCTTAACATATCACACAATCGCCTATATACTCTGCCAGAGGGGCTTTTCGCGAATGCGAGGGAATTGAGAGAAGTATACCTAAACGATAACTCCCTGTTTGAACTAGCAAGAGGGATTTTTAATCGTCTTGAACAGCTGATTGTTTTAGATTTGTCGAGTAATCAGCTTACCAGCAATCATGTCGACGACGGAACGTTTCTCGGTCTGATTCGCTTAATAGTCTTGAATTTGTCTAACAATGCGTTAACAAGAATTGATGGGAAAACATTTAAAGACTTGTTTGTTCTCCAAATATTAAACTTGAAGAACAACTCAATCGGATACATTGAAGACAACGCTTTCCTACCTTTATACAACCTCCACACTTTGAATTTAGCCGAAAATAGACTCCATACAATCGACGAAAACTTGTTCAACGGACTTTTCGTTCTTAGCAAATTGACTCTCAATAATAATTTGCTTGTGAATATCGATCGAAAAGCTTTCAAGAACTGCTCGGATCTCAAAGAATTAGACCTGAGTTCAAATCAATTACTCGAAGTTCCGAATGCATTGTGGGAGCTTCCATTCTTGAAGACTTTGGACTTGGGCGAAAATCAAATATCCGACTTTAGAAATGGGTCCTTTAAGAATCTTAATCAACTAACCGGATTACGACTTATCGATAATCAGATTGGCAATTTAAGTGTCGGCATGTTCTGGGATTTACCAAGCTTGCAAGTGCTAAACATAGCAAAAAATAAAATCCAAGCCATAGAAAGGGGAACATTCACCCGGAACGCACAGTTGGAAGCCATAAGGTTGGATGGAAACTTTTTAACTGACATCAACGGCGTGTTTTCAACACTCTCCAGTCTATTGTGGCTCAACTTATCGGAAAATCATCTTGTGTGGTTCGACTATGCGTTCGTTCCTAGTAATTTGAAGTGGTTAGACGTTCACGGCAATTTTATTGAACACTTGGGCAACTATTACAAACTACAGGATGAAATACGTATAAAGACGTTGGACGTTAGTCATAATCGCATTGTCGAAATTTCACCCATGGCCATACCGAACAGTGTTGAGTTACTATTCATAAACAATAATTACTTGAACAGTATTCATGTGAACACGTTCTTCGACAAAAAGAACTTAACCCGAGTGGATATGTACGCGAACGAACTAGTGCATTTGGAATTAAACAGTTTGCGTTTATCTACAGTGTCCGGTAACAGGAGCCTCCCGGAGTTCTATGTCGGTGGTAATCCGTTCCAATGTGATTGTACCATGGAGTGGCTACCGATTATCAATAATATGACCGCTATGAGACAATACCCGCGTGTGATGGACTTAGAGAACGTTATGTGTAAAATGACGAACACTCGAAGTGGCACCCATATACCACTACCTAATCTTAAGACGTCGGACTTTTTGTGTGAATACGAAACTCATTGTTTTGCAATTTGTCATTGTTGTGATTATGACGCCTGTGATTGTGAAATGACCTGTCCTCAAAACTGTACCTGCTATCACGACCCGTTATGGAATACTAATGTGGTCGACTGCTCCGGTCAGTCGTCTGTCGAGATACCGCATAAAATACCCATGGATGCCACCGAGGTATTTTTAGACGGTAACAACATCAAGGAGCTACAGAACCACGTGTTCATCGGTAGGCAAAAGATGAGGTCTCTGTACGTAAATAGTAGTAATGTAGATAGTATACAAAATAGGACGTTCGCGGGCCTAAACGCCTTAGAAATCTTGCATTTAGGCAATAACAAACTTAAGGAACTCAAAGGATACGAATTTCATCAACTAAATAATTTAAAAGAATTGTTCCTACAAAATAATTTGATAAGTCATATCGCAAACATATCATTCCTATCTTTGAAGTCCTTAGAAATGTTACGTTTAGACGGCAATCGTCTAGTAGACTTCGACGTGTGGACCTTTAGTAATAGTCCTTATTTAAAAGCACTGTCGCTCGGAAATAATTTATGGTCTTGCAAATGTAGGTTCTTACAAGAGCTCACTTCGTACTTGGCGGAAAATGCACAAAAGATTGTAGATATAGCTGACGTATGGTGTTGGAACGGCGACGCGCGCCCGCCACAGAAAAAAGAGCTCAATTTGAACGGCACTGCTTGCAGCGATTATTACGCTGATAATAACTCCGCAATCGGTAGCATGTTAGTCTCAAACTATGTTCCCATGATGGTCTCGACTCTCACCGGTTTCATGTTGATTCTATTGACCCTTGTCGTACTATTCCTATTTAGAGACTCGCTCCGAGTTTGGCTCTACACTAATTGCGGAATTCGCGTTTTCGCATTAAACGGTTCGTTCGAGGAAAGCGAAAAATTGTATGACGCTTACGTTTGCTATAGTCCTAAAGACGAAGAGTTTGTAATACAGTCACTAGCGAATGAATTAGAGAATGGCAGTCCCTCGTACCATTTATGTCTCCATTATAGGGATATACCTCACCACGGCGCGCAGTACATGCAATGCGCTCCGCCGGTGGTCGAGGCGGCGGAAGCGTCTAAACGAGTAATACTAGTGCTAACAAGAAACTTTATGCAAACAGAATGGTCTCGGTACGAATTCCGACAAGGGCTGCATGAAGCACTTAAAGGATGCATTTATAAATTAGTACTAATAGAGGAGTGCTCTGTGATTGGGGACGCGATGTGCGACCCCGATTTGCGGCCGTATCTCAAAACGGGGACCCGGCTGAGATGGGGACAAAAGAGATTCTGGGAGCGACTCAGGTATATGATGCCGGACGCGTCGCACCCTAATCGCAAGCGGCCTCACAATTATAGAAAAAACATAAACACGTACACTTTAGATTCCTCGGTGCCCGGTAGTGGGACTAGAACTCTCCCGTTTCCCGATAAATCTCCAGTCTTAAGTGGTGTTATACAGGAAGCCAGTGCGCCGCCCGAGTATAGCACTGAAGTTAGGCAATCTCCATCTGCCATACGACAATCAGCGGGTGTCGCGTACGGTCCTGACGGGAGACCTATATCAGACCATATTTATTCGTCTATAGACTCCGACTATTCGTCGTTAGAACACGGCATGGCGCCGGGTAGGAGACGAGACCATCGTCAGTGGCCCCCTCCACCCCCACTCGTAGATACGGGCAATGCCGTTCAAGCGTACCTAGTCTAAGGGCGTACGTCCTTCCAGTCAATGTAAATATGTAACTAGAATTATCTGTAAATATTGTAATTACTAGATGTAAGCGCTAAACCAAAATTTATGTAAGTGATCTTATTATTGCCTGTTTGTTATTCTGTGCATAGTTTCGTAAAATAAAGACTGCAGTATATTGTAATATTGTAAATAGCAAAAGTGATGACACTACATGAATATCAGTATAATTACGTTATTTATACATTAAAATAAATTGATGATTTATAATGCTGTATTTTTATTATCTCCCATTAGCTTAGACATTTTCGGAGTTATTGAAAGTGAATGTCCAAGGGCATTTATTAGGTATCGTAATAGAGCTATCAAATAATTAGGTCGAATTCAATACTTTCAGTTAATTACAGTTGATTGTCTAAATACACCGTTTAATTGAGTATTGATCGTATTTTTAATTACTTGAAGTACTTTCCTTTAACAGTTAAACAATATGAAATTCTGAATCTTATTGAATTTACACACTTTTACCATTAAGCTTTTGCTAGGAAAGTAGGATATAAAAAGTATATACATGACATTTGTATGTAAGGTAACATGAGAACTTTCCAACTTGTTCATTATTTTTAATTTACCAAAGGCAAATTATTGTTTGGGTACGTGTTACTTTTATAATCAATTCATTACTTGGTTATTATAGCGATACAAAAATACCTCTATAACATTTCCAAAAAATATAGCGCGTCAGATATTCCAAAACAACACACTTTTTGCCGTTACTGTACAAGTTTATCTCAAAAGCATACCAGGACCATGTCGCAACTTACAAAGTAAAAAGTGCGTCAAATCGCGAGCCTTCTCAAGAGCTAAGTGGAACAAAGGCAGTTTTTATTCCCTTTGTTCTTGTTGGCGACGCTGTATAACTTCTCAATTTCGACATCTAAGTACGAACAGTATTATATTTGAAACATATAGTATAAGCTACATTCAAAATACAAAAAATACACTAGTTTGACTTGAAAACTGTAATATTTTTTCATGTTATTGTGAACAGTGGTGGTGGTTCCTAACAACCTAAAAAGTCCTACCCTTGTAGTAATTTTTCAAATCTAAAATCGATTCTTAATATACTCTGATTGATTTGAAAATTTTGGAACGTTCTTTTCAATCACACAAATAAGCATTAATAAAATATACAAATCTATACTAATATTATAAAGCTGTATAGTTTGTTTCTTTTTTATTAAAACATGTCAACCTAACTAACTCTTAATGTTGCAACTTATTACTATAAATGAAAAGCAAAACTTTTTAGATATCATTTCAATTTAATTTAGGGCCCAATTTCAATACTCGATTGAATAATGATAAAAGACCAGATACAAACAGGAATAGAATATTTTTCCCAACCGGACGCGGTTTCCGTTAAGACGCGTGACCTGAGTAGCCGCTTGACTTAGCTCGCTTATAATTCTGTATTAGCTTTTGTACTCTACCGGACTTACAATGACCCTATATGTGTTCGTCTGATTGAGAACTTTGAATAACGAAATTATAATCATCTTGTATGCACGAAAAGATTTGTGACAGAAAAAGGTGTTAGTAATGAGCTAAATATTTTTATAGTACTACATCCCTTATTAGCCTTAACGTATTTTTATAAAAAGAAGCCACTGAAGATATAGATTGTAACTTCTATTGAACACTTAAATCGCTTAAACGACGAACTCGTTGGTCGAATGGTAACAATGTGTGAAGACCCTGGGTCGCGGGTTCGATCCCCACAGGTTCCAACATGCTATCTATCTGCTATTCAAAGTTGTTTTTCTGATCTAATTGTTAACAATATTACAAACCCGTGTTTCCCATAATAAATTGTACATAACGTTAAAAAAAAATTAACACATTTTTTTATTTATCTTTTTATTAGTAATTAATGACTAACAGTTACAGTTCTTATATATAATATTGAGTAAAGTATTACAAGAATAACTCCACATATAAATATCCTTATTTAGTTTAAAATCAAAACACGTGTCCGACAAATTTTGACATCTGCTTGTTCGTGAGCGCCAAATTGAATTTTTTGCGTCCACAACCGTTTAAGATGGCTCTGGATTGTGTTGTAAGGGGCAAACACACTTTGTCGTTTATTTAACGCGTGTTAAAGAAAAAAGAGATCTGCTAGGCAGGCGGAACAAACTATACAACTATAGAAACGAATATAAACAAAACTTACATATATTTCCCAAACATAACCAGACAATTTAAATTAAAACAACAAGGAAGAAGAATACATAAGAAAATAAAGTCAAATAAAAAAAATGAATGATATTTTCTTAAAATGCTGTACCTATTATTTTAAAGCAGTAAACAAATATACCAAAATACGTGGTTATCATTATTATTTCTGTAATGTTCCATGCATGTATAGTGTGTGTTCACCTTTACTTTTCAACGTTAAATACCAGTAGGTCGTGCCATTAAATAACAACATGTTAAAATTCTATTAATTTTAATTAGAGCAGTTTGCGAGTCGTTACTATGGTTGAAATGTTTTTGAAATTAATAAATTATTTATCTAAATAAATTGCGTACACTTTTCCAATAGTTAACTATGAATTAATTATAATCATTTGTGAATAAAGTAGCGTTTTGTTCAATATTTTAAACCCTATTTTAATTTTCTTCTTTATATTTAATATTTGTTTAGATTCAAACTCGGGAACTTTCCATAAATCCATTTAAAATTTGACCAAAAATTTTACGTATTTTAAGCAATATTTTAGTGCTTGAACTCAATAACAGGTGACACTTTAGTAGCTATTGAAGTGGTTATAGCATTTCTCAGTTTTACTTTAAATTAAGTAATATCGACCTTAAGTACTTGGATAATAGGTAATCAAAATTTCATGATTCGAAATCAAACCTGTGAACATGTACGCATTTCATTTTGATGATATAAATTATACATCAATATTTGCTTAAATAACTTTAACGTAGTTAAAATAATTTTAAAACAAGTTTAACTAATATATATCGCGTTTTAAACCGTTTAAGTGTTTTATTTAAAAATAACGTATTTATCAGTGGAATACTTTCTATTTAATTAAATAATAGTAAAATACTTTCAAACAAAATACAAATATAGTAATACTAAATTAATTAAAGAGTTATCGCAAAGACCTTATCGCCTATGGCGATTTCTTCCAGGCAATCTTTATATAAAGAAAGGGAAGTGAAATAACAATAAATTCTAAACAAAATTATAATATATCTTAGTTGTTACGAGGAATATAGTCAAGGAAAACTCAATTAAATCGAGTAAAAGTATTGTGCAGTGTTAATAAACTCGGTTTGTTAGCCAATCATTAATTTCCACTGCGACAGGCAATTTCAAATGTTTGCTATAAATTACGAATGTCGAAGTTTGTCCACTAACGCAAATAAAACAGGGTGTCTGCGGGAAGCGTAGAAAGTGTTGTGAATTATCACTATTATTGACAAACTCGGTATTAATTAGAAATCTGGTTTGAATTGTTTACTTTTAATATTGTTTGTATATTACAACATGAGAAATAAAAAATTCAATGCGTTCCGTAGTTTACGCGAGTATAACATATTTAAATAAAACAGTAAAGGTTTAAAACGCGATACGTTACGAATGCTTTGTAGCGGCCCGCGGCCTTCCCGGTCACCAAATGAGTTTATACTATTTGAAAACTTTTATTATTTCTTACATGCTATTGTACAATACCACTATATAATTTAAAAATAAAAATAAATTGAAAAAATTTTCGGGCAGGATTTGAACCTGCATCGTCAGCGTTCCGTGCTGTTGCTCTACCGATTGAGCTACTGAGTCCTATAGCTTATCGCCGAATTTTTTCAACTTTTTGATACATACACCTCTCGCGCAATGTAATTTCAACCTTAACACTTACGTATTAAGGTTCTACGTCTTATACTTTGCAGCTGAAGAAATCATTGAAGATGAAATTACAAAGTTATAACGTTTGAAAACTTTAATATTTTTCACAGTCATGTAATTGAAGGCACTGTATAATTTGAATTTAAAAATCGGAAATAAATTTTAGCTCAATTGGTAGAGTAACAGCACGGAATGCTGACGATGCCGGTTCAAGTCCTGCCCGAGTCGAAATTTTTTTTCAATTTATTTTCGATTTTTACCTTTTTTTTCAACTTCTATATTAGATGATTCTTAAAACTGATTCGAAATCCTTCATTCCGAAGCTTTACTTCGAATTCCGATTGCATCAAAAATCGGTAAAGCAATGTTAACGCGATGCTAATGGCGTTAATCTTACCGAAATGCATTAACGCCTCCACTGTGAATCGGGCATTTGTAATTGCTGTAAAGCCGATTTCAAAAGGAGGATTATGCTTTCGTTGCTAACTATATCATAGATGATAGAATTAACCGCCAGCCTAGCTGTATACGTTGCATTCTAAATTTAATTCAAATATAAATATTAAAAAAAAAACAATAAAAAATATAGTATTTTACGGATTTCAAAATAACAGGTTTTATACGGACTCAGGCGCTACGAAATTCTATATTATACTATAACTGAAGATAGTAGCTAAATGGTAAACGTGTTGCCTAGTTTTGCGTTAAACGCAGGAATTTAAGTTTTAAATCCCGAGGGTAGAATAGATAGTCGATTCGGCAGGGCACAGAAGTCTGATCAACGACTTGCCTGTAAAAGAGCCGATCAGTGAAACGTCCACAGAAGTATGTTCGCCCCATGCCCTATGCAGGGAAACAGGATTTCACACACAAATTTGATTGGTAGATATTATGAGTGAACAGAACTTATGTCCTAATGGTTTTCTTATTGCCATTAAATGAGATATGTAGTGTCTTTACGGTAGTTATAAAGAGAAAAATATAACTACCTATAGTATTAACTTTATCTGTAATATTCTAGTTACGTACGCAATAAAAATAAAAATGCCACGTTTCTATTAGACTATTTAAACTACAACTTTCAGCTCAA